AGAGTCATTCTTTTCCTCGATTCGGGATTAAAATTGGTGACTTGGGACACCCTAAATCTCCCAAGTGGAGACTCTGAAATAATTAAACCAATCCCGTTTCGACTGTCCTTTAATTGGAAAAAACTCCTTCGCCCTTCGCGGGGGCGGAAAAAGGAGGTGTGACAATCTCCACCTACCTTATTAGACATAGACTTATGAATCCACAAGATATATGGCGGACAACTATGGGAACACTTCATACTCCTAGTGCGGCCTAATGTGGAATACACTTATGCAATCTTTATTATCAACTCACATAACATCTTCAGGGGAAAATATTGAGAATAGCGTGCTCACCCTCCAAACTCTAAATCTCTAGGCAAACACTCACACTAAACCCATGATGACCTTCAACAATTACGCTAAGATGTGCTATTATAAACTGACCATAAAAATACCTACCAAATATATATGTGATCACACTGCGAAGCTTCCTATTTGACTTGTCTGATCTTACAATACCCAATGGACCTAATACAATGAGGAACAATAGAGTTCAAGATTAGGCTGGAGCTATTCAGGAATCCATTAATGCGCTGAGTAGAGTATTTTTTTTTTGAGGTTATATGCTAAGGGACACAAAAGCTACGACTAATAATGCTGACATGGTTAATTACTATGATGACGTCAATTATTACACAAATGAGGCATATGGATAAGTAATACATTGGCAATAGGAATCATTAAGGAGGAATATTCAAGTACATGACCCAGTCGTTTCCTAGGGTGAAGGGAAAATCAATTCATGCTCTGGTACCTTGAATGCGATATGGGATTCAAAATACATGAGGTGGAATTACACTCCTGATGTTAGCTGACACAAGGAATCTATGTCGTAAGCCCGACATACCCTACTAGTTCCTATTATTTAGAAGCGAGAATAAGCAGCTCTTCATCGTCTAGGGGTATTTTAGTCTTTTCATCATCATCTAGACAGACTGTAAGCCTACAATTTTCTTTATGACATATTTTATTTTACACTATTCCGTTCACGGTGTCTTTATCTCTCTCTACATACGCGGCTCTTTCTCCTCTCAGACGTGTAACATCAACATCCTCTTGCTTTTGGTGCTTTGAGTTGTTTTGTTACCTTGCAAACACCTGTGTTTCACAGAGACCAACAATATATTTTTGGGGTTAAACATTATCTCTTCAGGTTTTCATGGGGATTAGCAATATATTTTGGGGGTTAAACATTATCTCTTCAGGTTAGATTACTTCGATGCCCTTGTTTCTGGCAAATCTGATGTTTACTTTTAAGGTTATATTGGACAGTTTATAGAAGTGTTTAGCTATGATAGTTGAATAAATTCTGGATTACGCTCTGTTCTGCTTGGGTTTTCTGTCGATGTTTCTCGCTTCGCTTCTCCACTGTTCAGCTTTTCGTCTCTGTGCTCGTTTCCTGACAGGTTATTACTTTATCTGATCCTTAATTTTAAGATTAGACTAGATAACTTGTTGAATTTTTCAGTTGTCTGATGTTTATTAATTACCAGTTACAAAAGTTAAAGGGATAAAAACTATCGTGTTAACTGGAGGTGACTTTCTGATGAGCAAAGTCAATGGATTACGAAGAAACAAAGATAATAACTGTATATATAATTAGAAGAACCCTGTATGGTAGACCGAAACTTATACAGTAGAGTATAAATAAAGTGTTGACCATTTTATTATACTGATGATCGTTGATTTTTGTAGAATTAACTTCTTATTTTGTGAAGCAGCTGTTACCTTTCAATGGATCTTGACACACTAAAGCTGAATCCTCTTGGATTAACATATGCTTTTTCAATTTATGTATGTGCTCTGGAGCTCTGTGCGAATGTTTGTGTGATTTATGAGCTGAAAAATAGCTTACTGTAGCTCTTTCATACAATCTTTAATGTGCTGACTAAAGTACCCTCCTGCTGATATGCGATCATCAGGCCAGACCCACTTTTCCAACCCAACCACCTTACTTTCTTCTTTCTGTTGTCATTAATTGATATAGTGCTGATTTAAGATTATATAAAGCAAAAACCTCAGCTTGCATACTCTTTTAGGCTAAAAAATTAAATTTAACCAAGGTTGCTCCTTAATTACATTATTTTATTCTCTTGATTTTTTGGGTTCCGCTTTCCTGCTACTTTTTCCTCTCTGCTTGTTCGCTATAGGTTATTACTTTGCGCTTCATATTTCATCTCCTTCTTCATATTTATGTGCCTGAGTTAACTGAAAAAGTTTCTTTATTAGAAGTACTTATTATCTTTTTCCGATAGAAATATATAAAGGACTACACAACCAAGTTGCTCTGTTTTTCCTCGGTGGATTTAATAACAACAAGAAAATCAGAGTTACTCAAGTCCGGAACTTGTTAATGGTAAAGACTTTTAGTCTTCCCTTGGTCTACTTGTTTTTCGATTCTTCGGTCTAAGAAAACAATCTTCCTTGATCAAATTGTGAACTATTTTACTGTTACAGCTATGTTTTAACTTGTTGTAGTCTCATGGGAATTTCTTTCTAAATGAACACTCACACTGCTATATTATTTTTTTCTTATACTTCGGTTCGTAGTAGATAAATCTTGTTTGATTCTCAATAAGGAATTGAAATAATCTTTCGAACGGACTCCATATGCTTCCAAAGGGAACCAATATATAAAACAATCAGGGAAAACTTTTACTGATGTATCAGCTGTCTCAACTTATCTTTTGATTAAGACTTACTATTGTTACCTATGTATTTGTCATGTTAATATGACACGGATAGCGTGAGAAGGAAAGAGATGACTTTTTCGACGAATTTCTCTCTATATATTTGCATATACTTCTGAACTTGTTGTGCTTTTGTGCGGTTTTGACTTTACCACAAAATATCTTTCAGCAAATGATGATTTATTATTTTTTGTTCTTCTTCTTCTTTTCCACTGCAGAGAGAACATATGAAGTATAGACTAACCATTGATAAGATCACTCCACAAACAAAAGAGTAGACCTCAAAGGTACATCTCATTGAGAAAACTCGGCCAAGGAAAAGTAAAGATGGAAAGACCCAATTCCAGATCGTTGTTGTCCAAAACGAAAATGTAATTTTCTGTGTACCGTGCTACTACTTCTTTTACTGTTTGAAATATAATTACAATCACCATTATTTTTTAATTTAAACAAAAGAAAGAAACTTATCAGCTTAAGTTATTATATAGTTAATTATTTCTTCTGGCGTAGACTATGTTAAAAAGTAAATATTACAAGAGCTCTCTGAAGTCGGATTGTACGCATTTACCATTCGCTCCTGATTCATATTTTCTTGCTCAGCCTCTTTGAATTAAAAGTTTAGTACCAAACTTTTGTGTTTCTGTTTTGGATTAATTACTTCCTCCCTTTTAACCCTTGGTTTGTCTAAAAGGATATTTTGGCATTAGTTTTTGCTCTTGCCCTGTTCGAAAGTTGCCTTCATTGACATATCATTTTTTTCCAGCTACTAATAGGACTAACCAGCTGTGCTGGATTTTATTCGTTCTAGGAGCTATCAGTTTGGATTTTAGGAAGCCTTTTTGAAAATAATTATTGCATGTGCCATCAGAACATTTGAATTTTATGCATGCTTAGCACTTTTTACATGTGTTTCTTTTTCATCTCTCTGTATATTGGTATAAACAATATAGTTAGGCACTTTGCACCAATTAATATATCGACCGAAAATGTAGATCTAAAGAAATATAATTATAATATCCATATCATTATAGCTATCTTACGTCTGTATGCTCATTTGTTTCATTATGTTATAACTACAAAATATATTGAACAACAATTGTCTTTTCTGGTACTTATTTTGATTTGCAGTATCATTGTATAAATATTGGCTCGGTTCTGAAAACATAAACTTTTTTTGTGCAAGAAACTAGAATAGTAGCAGATGAGTATATGTGATTGGCACACATATATATTTTCACAACTGATAAAGTTTTGATGTCAGTTCCAAATCCAAAGAAACACTAATTAAATAAATAACTGTTAATTAAAGAAATAACTGACTCATGATTCTCAATTGGGGCACAATCATTATTAATGTGACCAAATATTCATGTTGTTGTAGCTATTTGGCATATACCATTATCTTTACATATTCTTGATATATTGTGTTGCTACAATGCTCTACAAATAACTTCTCTACAGACTTGTCATGTATTTAATGAGTTTAAGGCAACGAGTACTGCACTTGTTGACTATTTGAATATTTCAATACTCTATATTTATATGTCTCTATAAGTTTATATCTACACACTTCTGTAGAGGCTGGTAACTAAATCATGACAATATCAAAATACAGGAAGACAAAGTAGCTGCTGTTTTGTACGGAGAAGACATAGAAAAGGATGCACACAAGCTAACTCCGTTTTCCACTTACTTGATATCTACTGCAAAAGT